CCTCATATGTGGGATCCGAACCGGGCCCCTCTGGGTTCCCAAGCCAGCTCTTAATCAATGTGCCACTCGGTCGGCCCTATTCTTTTTTCATATATCCAGTTTCTGAAGGCTGTTTCTTCTTGGTCAGAGAAAATTTTCTATGTACTGGGGGTGGACTTAGCTGAAAAATGGAGCAATGGCAGGATCTGTCTTTTACTTATTTACCAAGTACTTCTAAAAATCTGATTTCATTTAGTAGAAGCATGGCATTACTTAATCTGTGCATTACTTAATTGGGTAAACACCAAGGGGGAACACCTGTCCTTTTTTTCCAATAAAAATTTTACATCTGGTATTTGTATCTTGATAAATTATAGTTTGCCCTTTATAGCTAACTCCTGTGTCTGTGCCCCGCCCAGTTTCTTTCCCTTAGCACCATTGCAGTTTCTTTCACATATGAATCATAGAAATGCCAGACACATGTCAACAACATTCTCTCAGAAAAACAGGAAAATGTTTTAAAATCTTGTAGGAAATGCCATGATACTTGATATTCATTGATAGAGGTGGCCTATGAAATAGCCTGAGTACTGTTTCTGCAGGTGGCTATTAAGTGCTAACAGTTATTCCTACAAAAATGAATTGTCTTGTTACTTCTGGTTCCTGCAGCCATATCATATTGTGTAGTATAAGTTTTGCTTTGTTTTGTTTTTTGATGATGCCCAGCCAGTTTATTCTGGTAAAAAACACTGTTGAATGAGGAAAGGATAATGACTTCAGAGTTCATATTCTCCATAACTGTGTGAGATAGTGGGAAAATCTCTCAGCCTTTCTGACCCTCAGTGTCCTGTGCAATGGGCAATAACATCCACCTTGCAAGGTGGTGTTGAGGATTGGAGGTGATGTGAATAAAGCCTAACACACTGCGGGCAATCTTAATGTTGTGTGGGTGGTGATGATTAGTAACAGCTGTGAGGACAGCAAACACATAACCCAGGAAAATTAGGTGCTTTGTGCTCTAACATGGAAATTTTATCTGAAAAGATATGCTGACCAGCACCCATAAACATGTCTCCCAATCACCTCCCTTCTATCAATGTCTGCTCACACCTAAAAGCATTCACAGCTGTCTCCTTGCCATTAATGTCTAGCTCTCTTACCAACCTGCCAGTAGGGTCTCCTGCCATCAAGCTGTATCCTCTCAGGATCTAAGGATCCAATAAATAAGCATTTCTTTCCTTTGTTCATTCCTGCTCCACATCCTATTGTCAGCATGGCCTCCCTCCTTCTCCATGCCTATTGAGGCTTCCTAATCATGACAAGAAGTTTTGCTGCATGCTCCAGACAGACGGAGTTTGTCGCAGGTCTTTCTTTTCTGAGCCTCCCTGCTCCCCGCCCCCAGAATACTTACTTAGTGGAGGCCATTTATTCACTCATAAAGCTTGTTGTTAGTCAACTTAAGCAAGCTCTTGAACTTAGGGGACCTTGACTTCTATTTCTTGCACTACATACAGTGTCCTATCACATATAACTGTTTAATAAATCATTGAATTTATTAATTTGACTCAATCCCAGAAACTAAAAGGTATCTGGCATCTCAAATCCATAAAGCTATAATAGATTTCTGGGCAACTTTAAAATAAGGAGGATGTTCATTTGCCCAGGACAGGTTCAGTTTTATCTGAAGTAAGAATATGGATTTATTAGGTATCTCTGGAAGTTCTTTCTAGGTGGGTGGCTCTGACCTATGATTTTGCTATCCGGGCAATCTGGATTGTTTGTGGATTAGCTGGGATTGATCTTTTATAGCAGTCACCAGTCTTGGCATCTACCACAGCCATGTTGAGTCCATCATCTCTAATGTTCAACGTTAACGACATTAGCCCAGGTGACATGTTATTAGGAAAGTGTGCCTTTTTTGCAATGGAAAAGAATATGAGCGATTCCAGACCCAAATAGAATATAGTGGTGGATTATTTCGTATTTGTGTTCCTGTCATTCTCCTCACTCCTCTCCACTAATACAGCTTCATGCTTGACTGTCTTCTAAGCCCCTTCTATTGCTGTCACCTGTGACACTGCCAACACATTTTGCTGAAGGGGAAGCTTATTAACATTAAGTTACTAACTTAATGTAGGTTATTTGTAGGACACTCATTGAGAGCCTTGAGTCTGAGTGAGTCCAGAAGGCAATGGAATATTCCATGTGCCCCCCCCACACACACACACACATGACTTCTGCTGCCCCCAGGGTCTGTTTCTCCTATAAGGGATTGAGAGCTGCCTGGCAGAGGCCGGCTGAAATCAGAGAAATCCTGATTTGAGCTGTTTCAGAAAAGTGACCCAGTATTTCAGGAAAGATGAGGACAGAATTAAATATGAGTAAAAGGCTTGGAGTCGCTCCCGTTCTCCTCCATAATGGGAGTTCACTGGTGTGACTGTTATTTTTGTGACTATCACTTTATCTGCATTTTGACTAACACTTGGAACACTACCTCTGGGCAACTTAAATGACAGCTTGTTTTCCAGGATGAAGTAAACTGGCAGACATTTCCATTGTTCATCAAATCTGGTGTAAATGATTTGCCTGAGCTAGATATTTTTGGGCCCTGGGTGTGCTCCTGAAGAAATAACTGCTGCTTCTCCAAGTAGAAAGTGGTCAAGGAGAGAGCTAATTGATACGTCAAGTTTTTATTTTCTGTCACTGTGTGAAAAGCTAGCCTCCATGGGTTGGGAAGGACCAGCAGTCAGCTCTGCTGGATTTTTAATACTTCCCAGATTTTGCGCTATTACCGTATTTTTTCCAACAGGGCTCTATCATAACAATCCATTCTTTTCCCTGCACTCCTGGCCCCTCACGATGTTTTATTATGCCCATGCTGAAAGAAAAGGTGTCTGTGCATACTGTATCTCCTCATTTGGCTCCAGGGATTTCCCTTTGATTTGGAAAGAATAATCTTTCAAATTCCGCTATAAAATACACAGGAGAGAGAGAAAAAAATAGATTAAGTTCCAGGAATGTGCACGGGTGTTGACATTTCATTCACATACTGGCCTGAAGGTAAATTTTCTTTAGTATTGCTCAAGTGAATGATCAATTACCACTAAGTGTGAGTTATCAGCAGTGTGGTTCACCATTGATTTATACAGCATGGTTTAACTTCTGTCTCCATCCTCCGAGATATTAAAACATAGCTAATATTCAGCAGGTACCTCCAAGACACCAGGAGCAACTCCACAGCCCCCCCTCATCGCTGTCTCCCTGGTTCTGCCTGGAATATTTATGGTGAGCGGCCAGCTATCTTGTCTTTGGCAGACAGCCTGCTTTCCTGTAGTGTGGAATTGCCTTCATTCGCATTTGCAGCGGCTCACTCAAGTGTCACTAAAGGAAGAGGAGGTGGAGCCTAAAGGGCTTTAAAAAGGGGAGTCATTCTACTTTTCAAAAAGAGAAACTGTGTTTGGGGAGGAATTATATCTCCATATTTCTTCTTTCAGCTTGATCAACCGTCGTGATTGGAACTTTCCATCAATTCTTTTCTCTCTCTCTCTCTCTTTCTCTCTCTCTGTACCCTTTGCCCGTTGCTCTGCCTATCACAGTGAAGTTAGCTGCAAGCCTCCAGAGTGCCTGTTAAACAGTGGCGAAATTTGTCAGAAGGGTGTCAGGTATTTCTTACCGGCTTCAAAAAACGTAGATAAACCTTTCCCAGCGTGTCCCTTTCAGAAAGGCTGCATTTGGGCACCGTTTCGAGTTGAAGCAGGAGGAGTTGGAGGGCAAGAGCAAAAGAGCAGAAGAAAAGATGCCCCAGGGCTGCAGGCCAAGCTGGGTGAGCACTACTGGGGTCAGACAAACCCACCTTGCCTGGGCTATGCCCAAGCAAAGCCAACTTATTTTCTATTGAAAGCTCAAGCCCATCAAGATCATGCTGCTCTTCCTTGTCACCCTGTTGCCTGAAGTTTTTACGTTTGGTTTTGTTAGTAGTCTGTCAGTACTGCCTCGCCAGAACTGTCCTGAAGGCCCTCCCTCTGGAAATGGGGACTCTACTTGTTTGGGTAAGTAATCCCTTTAAAAGGAATTCACATCTTTCAGGGACCTGCCCTCAGATACCTGCTCAGCCCATCTTGTAAAGCTGGGTATTTTTTCTCTGATTTGTCTTTGGGTGTGTATATTTGCTTAATTTTTGCTTTCTAATGTTTGTGTGGTTTTCTACTGGCTCTTAAGAGCTAATCTGCTACCGGCTAAAAATTTTCAGTTCTCAGACTGTTTTTCCACGTGTGAGTGAATGTGTTTCATTTTAAACTAGCTGAACGTTTCATGTCAACCTCTGTCTTTATTCTGGCATGAGGGGTAACTAAATACCTAATTGATCAGCCTTTTATTGGAAACTGGGGAAACAGATGGTGCTTTTTTTGCTTTGAAACTTACTCTCAGGCATAAAGCAAAAAAAAAAAAAAAGAATCCCTCCTCCGATAACTTTGTGAAAGAACTCAGAAACTGTTACAAAATCAGTGAAAAATGAGATGGGAATTGGGAACAAATGTGATTCTATGGTGAAAGCCAAGCTAAATTCACATTAAACTTCCTCCCTTTCCTCCCCACTCCTGCCATTTCGGAAGCTCTGACACAGCGCCAGTGTTCAGTAACAGGTGCATTGTAACTATGAGAACTGCTAAGAACCGACACTGTGTCACACGCCTCTCCCATATTAAATGAGGTTTTAATCAAGAAGTGAGAATTTTACTGGACGCAAAATAACAATCCTGCTTAAGGATTTTGCCTGAAAAACGTACCTATCCCTCTCTCTCTCACTGTTGTTGATTCATTTTCTTTAGTCCTTGGGTGGGTCAAACAAGGCAGCCATTTCACATCATTACAGAGCATGAGCTGCCCTGACATTCCATCTTGTCATTTTTGGCCTTTTGAGAAGAGATCTGGCTCCCCCAAAGAGGGAAACTGAGGGAAACACAGTTAAGTTTCCAGAAGAGAAGCCTCTGGAAGACGACACAAGATAGTGGGATTAAAGAGAGCTGTTCTGAGCCAAACTGCTGAGTTGGGCTCGCGCCCTGGCTTGCTCATGGAGGAAGTAACGAGTGAAGAAGTCAGGTGCTCTTGCTCAGAATCTCAGGGCTCTGACTCCAGGCTGTACTCCTTGTAACAGGTGAGCAGAACTCCCGGGTGTTGGAAGAAAGGACTAAATTCTAATGATCTCTATGACGCCAGCACCCGGAACATTTCCGCTTTCATGTTATGTACTCAGTCAAGTCTTGCTGAATGAAGGAGGAGTCTTTCCCTTGACTGGCTGATCACATAGTCCTAGAGAATAGCAACAAAAAGGGGTGACAAAAGTCTATAGAACGACCTCACGAACCTGTTACTCAGCTGTTGGAGGCAGAAGTAAAAGCTTTTGGACACAGTTCTGTCCAATGGACTGGAGCCTCTCTGGGGTGGGAGAATTGTCCCAAGAGCAGATGGCAAGGGACCAGAGTCAGGCACTGACATTTACATGGGTCGTGAGCAGGACATGGTGGGAGCCAGTCAAGAAGCAGGACCCAAGAGAGGGAAAAGAAACCCCACAGAAATGAACTTTTACACATGGCTCTAGAAAGTCTCAGACAACACCCCGACTCCTGCTAGCAAGCCAACCTGGGCTTCTGCTCCTCGCTGCCCCTGCCAGTGGCTCAGAAGCGCCTTCATGAGACCGCTTGCACCAAATAAACCTGAAGCCCAGGACAGAGACAATGAGTTAAGGGGACTGTGTCACAGAGTGGGAGGAACACAGGTTTTAGAAGCAAAGCCTCGTCTTTTCAAATCCATGCTACCTCCTTAATACTTGAGTTATATTAAAGTATTGCAGGAAAATAATAATACCCCCCTTTGAGGGTTGTTGGGATCCCATGAGATACCAGGTGAAATGCGCCTAGCACGGAAGCTAGCAGGCTGTGCTCAATGAATGCCTTCTTGGCTCCATGTTTTGGTCAAATCTCTTAGATCACATCACACCCTGAGAGTCCTTATTTGAACAGTGCAGTGACATGGCATAAATCCCACGTGGTGTGGAATGTCTGGATGCCACTTTGTGACTCTGCCTCTTTGCTCCCTCATCCTTGCAAGTCACTGGTTTAAATCCTCTGCTTTATACTCCACGTCTCACATTAGCTGATGATTGCCTGGGTCACACCCTGTGCCCTCTGCATTTTAGAGGATAGTGTTTCTCCTTTCTAAATAGCTATGGTGCCATCATCTATTCTCTCTCCCTCCCCCCCTCCACAATTAAATTTTACTTGCCTTATTTCTTCCCCTTGGCATGGAGACAGACCACCTTTGGCCAGCCTGACCCAGCAGAAAGAATGCTTTGTGGTCTGACAAGATTTCAGGTAACTTTATGCAAGGTTGTCACTCATGTGACTGCTACCCAGATAAACCAAGTGATACCAACACAGAACTGGGGTTTCTTTTTATTTCTCCCTCCTCCGCCCCTTCTGCTTTTTTTTTTTTTTTAATCAACTGAGTAGTCTATTAGCCTCTATTTGAGCTATAGAAGGTGAGGAGAGTGAGGAAGAAAACTGCTGTAAGTGGCTTCTGAACTTTCAAGCCTATTTGCCCTGGAGGAGAAACATCAGTTGAAAAAAGAAGCTGTTCCTGTTTGCTGTCTGTACCTGTATTATTTATATGAACTTTCTTGGTAAATAAAGGGCAAGGAAGAAGTACAGGCCCAGCCTTAGGGAGCTGGCTGCAGGAGGGAACCTGGGGCACTAAGTTAGCCAACTGGGAGATCACTTTTAGCAGTAAACAGTGAAATCACTGATTTCAGCACTGGCTAAGGCTTGGTCAGCTTCCCAGTCATGTGCAAACCAGAGTAATTTCATGATCAAAATATCTTTTGTTTTTTCAGCCAGGGTTATGAAAAAGGTTTTGTTTTATTTTTCTAATTTCAAATAAATTATAGAAATAATCTTTTATGCATACCATGTAAATGAAACCGTCCCCCAAGTACCCAGGGGTTTGCGGTCTTTGAGGGGTAGTAGTGTTGACGGGTAAGGAGCTTAAATTTTGGAGACAGACCTGGGTTCAAATCCCGGTTTTGCTGCCTGTGAATTTGTGTCTCATTTTCCTCCCTGTATAATAAAAATAATTACCCCCTCCCCCTAGGATTGTTGTCAGGACTGTGTTAATGTGTTTGTTTTCAATGTTGGCTGCACATTAGAATCACCAATGTCAAGGTTACCGCCCAGTCCATCTGAGTCAGAATCTCTTCTGGGGGTGGAATTCAGGCAGCACTTTCTTTGTTACTTTTCCTTGGTGATTGTAATGGGCATAATGGGGAGTCGGGTTTAAGATCACTAAATTAATGCAGGTCAAGTGCATAAAACAGAGCCTGGCATGTAATAAGCATTCAGCAAGTCTTAGCGGCTATTAACATTTTTATCATTGTTGAATTAGTTTTATTGGTGGTAATGGTATAAGTATTTTCTAAATGTGGCTTGGTTTCTTCTACAATAATTGATTTTTTTTTTTTTTACACATGGAAAATGCCACATTGAAAAACCTGATGAGTTTTACAACATTAAAATTTGTAGTCAAGATACTTTCAACATTCATGGCTTGTATTCTTGTAATCAGAAGAAATGTTTGTTAAAAATACAAAAACATATCAAACTGATTTGAGTAAGTGCCCTTGTGAAACTGTAGTTCCAGTGTTTGTCTTTCTGTGACATCAACTGATAAAAAATTCCACTGACTACAAATTAAATCTGCTCATCAGATTTCTTACCAGTAATAATTTTATTTTAACAACAGTAGCAAGAAACAAGGCACTTGAAAGTGATAGTGATTATTTAAATTTCATGTGTATTTTTTCTTACATTTGGAACCAATTTCTCTAAGATTTTTAAAGTTGTTGAGGGCATATAAAGGAATTATAAAATAATTCTTTAGATAAATTTACATTTTTGTGCTAGTTGGTGGTTGTTCAAATATATGACATTCAATTTAGTAGTTGGAAGGTGAGAATTCTTTGCTTATGTTCAGAGCACAGCAAACAATTGATTGTTTACCATCAAAAGTAAATGAACTAGTAATTTGGCTCAAAATTTGCCTTCATGAAAACCCATTTGAAAGAATTTCTTGTTCAGCGTGCATGGTTTTTTTCTTTTTTACATCAGTACTCGCCAAACTCCATTCCATGTATAAAACAAAATTTAAATGTGGGCATATGCTCTCAATATGTGTGTTTATTTATCAGTTACTTACATGCTACATATACTATTATGAACATTATACAACACATAATATTTCTAATATTTTCTTTCCACACAATAGTGAACCTTCTTACAGTCTATAAGTGATACACATCGTGCTTGGAAGAGACTGTTCTAGAGACGTAATATAATGATGGAATAAATTCTTTATCTTTTTTGGCTATTCACTCAACTCCTTTCACTTAGGCATGAAGAGATAACCAAAAGGACTACTTTTTTTTTTTTCAAGTTAAGGGAGGTTATTCATAATGGATGACTTTTCTCAGAATGTATAATGGAAGAAATAAAAAGGCAGTAGGACTGTGCTGAGATTCTTCCATAAGGACCAGAAAGCCAGACCATATCCTAAGGATGGGCTGGAGTTTCAGAAATTCCAAAACTTTATGGGCTGGAGGGTCACTATATCTTAGGATTTTAAATAAAAATGGCCTGTACTTCCATTCTATGTTCTGAGGAAACCCAGTGTGTGTCTCCTAAGACAGAGGATTCCTGGGCATGAGAATGGTAATGTGGAAGGGAAGGCTCTGTGTCTCTGTTTGTCCTTCCACGAAATTATTGACCTCTACTGTGTTCTTCACTTTCCTTATGTGCTGTCCCCTTCCCACACTCCACCACCTGATGCCAGATACCACCCTCCTTCACTTCTCAAAAGAGCCAGTGCTGTGAACTGTGATGGGACAGACTTTAACTAAAGCATGGGGCAAAAGAAAAGTCTTGGCCACATCCCGATCTAACACATCAAATAACTAATAATATTTTTCATTCTTGTTATTAAAAGTTAAGTGATTGTTCTCTGTGGAAAAGCTTACCAGCTATCTCTCTCGGGTGCTAGCCTTCTGCCATCTTGGCTGTCCTCGGCTAGGTTGACCTTACACCTAGCCTGCTTTTCTGGACCTCCTTGATCTATTTCAGACGACCCACATCTTCATGCAGAACATTTCAAATTTCCTACTCCTCCAATTCTGCTTTCCTGATCATATCCTGGGCCTCTTTATTTATTTATTTATTTATTTATTTATTTATTTATTTATTTTTTATTTTCCCTTTTTTAAGTTAAAAAAACTAAAATGCCACTAATAGCATACTGAAGTGTTTTAATAAACAAAACAGTTGTTTCTCAGAAGAAAAATTGGGGGCACAGGTTTTAAAATATTTTTTTCTTTTTTTCTCTCCAAAATGGGAGATATTTAATTTTGAGATAGAAGTGAAGCTTCTTGGAGGCAGGTCCCAGGTGGTGGGAATACTACCTGGAGGGAAGACGTTTTTCCTAGACTCTCAAGCTAGGAAGGAATTCCAGGGTTGGGGAGGGGCTTTCATTGGCCTCTTGGACACAAGTCAGAAATGAGGCAAGACACTGGCATCAAAAGAGACTGCAGAGGTCTGGTCTTGGCCAGTGATTGTAAGGTGTTCTATGCGTATTCTTTCTTGTTATCCCTTATCCTTAAAGAGAGTCTTATTAAAAATTAGAGATTGATCTTACTTGTGCTGAGGAAAATGAGAAGAAGGCCAGTCCCATGTTTCAGGTGAAATGGTACAATGAGTGGCAGGTAGGAGGGACCATCTTTAGAAACAATGTGAATTCACAGTGGTATGGCCAGAGATGGAGAAAGTCAGCTGAGGGGCACCAGTGGGTAAGTATGAGGGAGGCACAATATTCCCCAGTCAGTAGTCAACTATTTGGGGTATCAGATAGTTTGGATTGTGAATCAATTACTGCATCTCCTCTCTTATTTTTGTCATTGACTTATAGATTTCATTGTATTGGGTTGTCGGAAAAGTCATGATGTATTTTTTTCTAGGTTTTTCGTTGCAAAAATGCATCATGGCTTTTCCGACAACCCAATAGTAATTTATTTAGATTAATTTATATGTTGTCTCTTAATCCAGATAGTTAAAAAACCAAACATTAGACCTCAGGTGAAAGGCAGAAATTCTTTACCTGGAAAACAAGCCTTCTAAAATTTGTTCAACATTCTTAACCCTTTAGTCACTTTGGTTATAGTGGAGAAAGCTAGAAGAAACCAGTAACTTTCCAATATGTGTAAATTGCCTCATCTAAGATATTTCAGCAACTATTTTAATGGGGTAGTTTTTGTAAACTTGTTTTGAGCATAAAAATTAGAGACTCAGTTACTAACCTTAACAGCTGTAAGCTACTGCATTGGAGAGCTTTTTCAGAATGCCCAGGTCAGTTTTAAAGAATGTACTTTCTTTCAAAAAATTCCTAAATATTTAAATATTTTTCAAAAAATTTTCAAATTCTGTGAAGTGGTTTAATGTTTAGCTTAGTTTTAGTTATTACTCTACATTTGAGAAATCCTATAGCTAAGGAACAATCCTACAGTTAGTTTTATTATTTTATAGTTTCTAATGTTAGAATTAGAATTAACTTTAAGAAGAAACCAGTGACAACGACAACAAAAACCTTGATCATTGTAATGTAATTGTCCCCATTGTCTATTTCCTCCTTGCCCTCAGGTAAATAATTTCATCCAGAATGATACTACTACTCACCATGAAGGAAGTATTACCTGGATATTAGGTGAACCAAGAATGTAGATTCATTTTGTAGAGATTCTTTATTAACAATAATGCTAATAACTAATGGCTTTGCACAAAACCATTCCAATCCCATCCCCAGTTGTCCCATTTGCTGGAGCCCACAACAAGAAGATGACTGAGATTCATGCCTCAAAGGATAAGGAATGTTTTTGTCGGGTGTAGAAGAAGACAAAAATTACTTTAAACAGAAGGTATCTTTACACTTCTTGAAAGATCTCACTATAGCTGAAAACAGATTTTTTATTTTATTTTATATGGCCAACGTTACTAACCTTTGAGGGCAATTGTGGAATAATGCATGTAAAAATGTCTTTCTTTAGGAGTTCTTTTCCTTAACATCATCATTCAAAGCTTGCCTTTGATGCTGGAAATTAGTTAATGTATAGAAACTTCAGTCATTTTAGCCAAATACAAGGCAGGAACTTCTGCTCTCATCGCCTTTTGACCTTCTTTCTAAGCCTGGAGTTTGAACTGGTGTGTGTTTCTGTTTTCACTTATGACCTTGATTTTCTGATTCTCCCAAGCTTGGCCAACCATGCTAATGTCTCCCAGTGTCTGGGTTTCCCAAGTATTTCCCAGGATACTTAGTACACTGGAATTTGTGTGAGTGTGAAAGCGTTTGAGAACCAGCATACTCCAGTGACAGTGATTCATGGTATCCACTGATTTATTTAGAAAACCCCCTCTCAGTGACAGCATAGAAAAGGCCTTTCAGAGAAAAGCACTACCTTCTTCTTTCATTCAGAACAGCCTGTCAGGATGCTACAGATCAGTTTTGTGTGTACTAAGTGAATTTCATCATGAGGTGGGTTTTTTTGTGTGGGTAGAGGGTTGCTAGGATACAGATAGCCCTAACATCATGGCAGCTGCCTTGTTCTTCAGCACATGGTGTGTCAGTTGAGAAACAGTGTTTTATTTCATTCACTTCAACACTCATCTGGTTAAAATTTCAAAAGCTTGAAGCAGAATCTTTCTTCTTCCATAGACAGATCAAAGATAGAAGATCAATCAAACTCAACACTGTCATAATATATGGCTGTTGATACCAATCCCATATATTCTGAGCCCTTGCCTTATCAGGTTTAAAAACATGCCCAGAGGTGGAATCTACCAGGGATCTTCTGATGTTTTTCTGCCTTTCTCTGAAGTATACAATTATTGTTTACTATAGAATTTTCAATAGAAAGGAATTTAATCTCTCCTTGGTGTGCAGGGAAATTGCAAAGGTTGCTGTCATAAATGTTAATTTACCTAGTATGTGGAAATGTATATCTTTTATATTCCGGCAACATTGTTGAGAATTTTCAAAACTCTAAGTGGATCAAAAGGCTTATGTTTTGAAAACAAATCTGAGAAATCGGCTGCAACTTTTATATTTCTTGGTTATTCTAATGAATCATGGTAAATATTTTTTTGTAAGGGGGGCAAAGGTATATGAGAAAAATGTCCGTCTAGAATCTCAATGCATTTAAAAAGCACCCAACAATGTTCAAGAGAGGATGATAGGTGACTGTTCTTCAGTGTTGACATATCCTGGAACAGAAAGCTGACGAGAAGCGCACTGTACATGGATGTCCTTCCTTAATATAAGCTATGTTGATGCACATGAAATGACCTGGTTTTATTACTTCCAGCAGACAGGATGAAATGCCATTTTTTAAACAAAGGATACACTTTAAACTGTGTGAATTGTGGTTGGTGCTTGATGTAAAGGGACTGATCTTGTCACAGGAAAAAGCGGAGCAGTTCTGGACAGGTGATTCTAGTGTGACACTTGCTTGTTGCCTTCCTTTTGCAGGAAAGAGTTCTCTCACCCTTAGTTGATGCACTGTTTGCCCAGCAGGTCGTGTGAGGCCTCAGCTTTTGAAGTTAATAAGGTTCAATTAAATAGCTGATGTGAGCTGCTAGCATTTACCTCATAGGATTGTTTTGAAGGCTAAATCAATTAATTCACATAAGGTGCTTAGAATCTTGCCTGACATAGTGAGCTCCTAGTAAATATTAGCTGTGACTCTCTACCAAATACCGTAACCTGAGACATTAGGGATACCTTTGCTTTGTGTAATTTTTCTAACCCTATTTTTCAAATGTTCTGTGATGTTTAGAGAAATCTAAAGTTGGCTTCTTGGGGTGAGCCAAGTCCTAACAGTCATCTTACCAGGGGGTTCTCTGTAATTTGTTATTATCCTTGAAAATAAAGTATGGCACAGAATCTCCAATTAATTACTTTTCCTAAGTAATTATTCTTACTATTTGTAACATTTTCCCTCAACATTCCAAGAAAATTATATGAAGTATTTTCTCTCAATATTTCTATAGTTCTACTTACAGCTGGGGTGCTGAATTTAGCACTGATCAGTGTGGGATTAATGAGAACAATGGAAACATCTAGACTCCAACAATTCTTAATTTCTTTTGTTTTTGTCTATTTGTCTAGGAACACTTGGAATGTAGTATCTACAGGCAAATATTTATTTGTTTAGCCTTTCTATTTGAAGAACATTATTGTGAAGGTAGGAAAAGGAGAAAATAATTGTGTTAGTTACAAATGAGACCTGTATCAAATTTTGTACCTCTAATACATTTTTACATATTTAATCACTTGACTAATTTTTTAGACTTCCTTCAGAGAGTTGAGCTTTTAATGTCACTTGGGGGAGGGTTGTTTGTTTTAGGTTATTGTTTTATTTTCTTTAGCAGAGCTCAGAATGACACATTCTTTATTTGGTATTTGAAGTTTAGAGAAACAGAGAAGGAAACACTTCACAGAAAATAGGAGTTAGGATGAATGACATCGATTTATGAATTTACCATAAGCTCTTTACAGAATATCACAAACAAGGAAACTATTGAATTCTGTAAGACAAGCAGGATAGGAATTAAATTGATAAATGTTAGATTAGCAAAGATCTTCAAGATCATCTAACCCATCTCCAGGGAGATGAAGGAAGTCAACAAGCTCCTATGTGATCTAGAACGCAGCATCCTGGACTCTTACTTTACAAAATCTACCACACACACGCCACCTCCCATGAATGATTACTGAAAGCCTACCAATGCACTGATTAGTCCTTCCAACCAAAACGTGTTAATAATGTTAAGTTGGTTTAGGGAAAGTCTCTTAATATATCTAGTTCTTTATGTTGAAAGTACCTTGAAAGTAAGACTGAGGTTTCCTTTTATATAAATTATGCCAATAAATTAATTCAAATCAATTCAACAGAAATTTATTCAACACCAATTATGTGTTTGGCCTGACAGTGGTGACTTCACTGATCCAGATGCCCTGGTGTCCTGAGAGGACAGGGAGATTGCCAATTCAGAGGGCCAGGTATGGGGTGTGCTGTGGTTTACCTGATGATTTATGAACTGTATTAGTTGGGTTTATCAAAACTAACTCTTAAAAAATCCAACAAGTGGCTTAAAAAGCCTGCCTTCAAAGGAACTAAAGATTGCAAACAATGCTAATAATGCAAGCTCAAGAGAATAATGAGGGGCAGACAACACTGACCCTTCTCTTTTTCTTAGAAGAAGTTTTTTGTCAACTGCATAAGAGGTAAAAACAATATAAATCTCTGTAGATTTGACAGAAAATAGGGAAAAAAGAGAAATTAATAAGAAGGTAGCCTGAAAAAATTATTAGTAATGAATGTTGCAACAAGTGTAAAATTTGCCTCAAAATGTTAGCTAATGGTAATATGAAGTCATCAGGACAGGCAAGCTATTTAAAAATGAGTATCCAGAATGCAAAAACAATTTTTTATGATTTTTACAGTTGTGTTCAAAGTTATGATATTTAAGACTACGTTTACTAAGCTTAATGATAAAAAGTTAGAAGGCTCCTTTGAGTTTTCTGACATTATAGCAAAAATGGAAAAACCCTTTACTCTTAGCAAAATATGTTTCCCTCCTGCTTCCTGCTGTGGTAAAACATAGCTAAAAGAATACATGGAAAACCACATGACAACAGATTAAAATGTGTGCCTTTGTCAGCTAATGCTATTGAAAACTTCACAGACAGCATTACTGAAATTTTGAAGAAATAAGTATTAGAAAAATTGCACAACTGAGTGGAAGTAAAGGTGTTTTTAACATATCTCAGTGCCTGATATTTTTCTAGAAACTAATAGCCAACATTTACTGAGAGGTCACTATATGTGAGGAAAAATTCTAAGCGCTTGGCATGAATTAATTTATTTATACTTCATAATAATCCTATGAGGCAAGTACTATTACCATCTCCATTTTAAAGATGAAGAAAATGATACACAGAGAGGTTCAGTACTGAGCTGAAAGTCTGCAGGGAAAGGGAAGAATCCCCGTTTCCCACCTCTGGTTCTTTTCGCTGGTTGAATAATTAAATTGACATGAGGCGGATTGACAAGAGTAAATCAAATTTAATTTTGTGCACACGGGAACCCCACTTACATGAGTCAGAGACCCTGCATATGTGAGAGATTCCGAGACAGAAAGTTAAAATGAGGTAGATATGACATTCTGAGGTAAGGATGAGGTAAGGCACCTTGGGGCTTCAGAGGGTCATTGCAAGATGATAAGAGGAACAGATGCTCAGTAATTAGTAGTTTGCCCTGCCCTATAGATGGGTCAAAAGGTTATCTCTGATAATCTCTTATTATGGGGAAAGCTCCTAATTCAAATTCTTCTAGGCAGTTAATGGGAAGCAGAGTTTCTCTTGAGCCTGCAGGGTTCTCAATTGCCTTTAGCTAAAAAATAACCTGCATGCCACAGAGGCACATCTTGGGGTGACTTGTTCTGAACACCTCCAGTCACACAGCTAGTAAGTAGTGAAACCAGTGAAGAGTCAACATGGGTATTCTGTGTTCAGTGCCAGTGGTCTTAGTCATTCTTGTATTTGCCTCTCTATTTCAACAATGAAATGGGCAAAGAACTGTGATGCTTCTTCATTAGCCAATAAAAGAAAAATGCATCAGAGAAGAAGCTTTCACGGTGGTCCATGACTTCTGTATATATTAACAAATGTATTATGAAGAAAAAATAGTAGAAGTGTACCCAGTGGTGATGGAGCAACTGCATTTACTGGAACATCAACCAAAAGGGGTCTTGAGTGAAATCACCGGAGGCCCTCCCTGTAGTTCACCGGTCTCGCAGGAAAGCAGTGCAGCAAAGAAGTTGAAAGTGGAATTGCACAAAGTGCAATGGGACATCATGGACGTCATCACTCGTGTAAAAACAAGAATAGACTAGATTCTTTATAATACTTTATATTGGATGGGGAGTAACCATGGAAATACGTGTCCCACATACATCCATAGAGTATCTTGAATCAAAGCACTTCAGACAGCGGGCAAATGTTACATCTTTTTCTTTTTAAAAAAGGAGAAAAATTTCAAGTTTTTGACCTTTACTGTGATAACAAACAGGTGTTACTAGTATGCTACTGAAAAAATAACTAAAGCAACACAACTTTCTCTCTCCAAGTGAAAGGTGATATTCTAACAACGAGTGAGAAAGTGACCAGTGATTGTAAGAAATCTGTGTGTGAAGAGAGCAGTTTGAAAACAGATGTTGGAAATGTTTTCATTTTTATGTGATTAGGTTGTTGAACATTGTCAATATGTCACCTATTAAAAACTCTCATGGCTACAGTTAAAAAACAACAACCTTCTAAATAAAATTTTCCAAACTATTTTTTAAAAACTTCCAAATAAAGAGTTTTTGTCCTTTTAATATATTTGTTAAAAATAGAAAATACGACACTTTCTGGTTAGTTTGCATTTACTAACTAAAATCTAGAAAGATAGAATTTTGCTAATCTAATTCAACAAAATTTGGAATAATTGATGGATGTAATTAAAAAGAATATTTTGTGATTTTGTACAGATAGCCAGTGAAGCATTTCTTTCATTTGATGCAGATATAATTGTGAAATATCTTTATATGACAGCTATCAAAGACTAAATATCAAAGCATATTAAACTTGCAACCAGATATTTCAATTCCTATGTCAAAATCAATCTTTTCAATAAATGCAAACTTGTTAGAAGTTATTGCATAATCTCAATTTTTAACATGCAGAGGGACTTTGG